CACAACTTGCAAGTTTATTAAGAATTAGTCACACTTTATGGTGTGTGTGTGTGTGTGTGTGTAGAGTTCTTAACAGTTATGAGGGAAACAATTAAGTAAAATTGTACCAAAAAAACTCTCATAATTATAAAAAATTCAATCTAAGGCTTAGAAATCAGTAAACATAAAGATATAGAAAATTTAATGAAATGTTATGTTAATAGAAAAAGTCATCTGAAGGTAAAAATTGTACTAATGAAATGTTTGCTAATTATTTCTTAAAGAATTTTAATTTTGAAATGTTTATATTTTCCAGCACAATTCTGCCCTGTTTTATTTTAAATTATATTTTAGTGAATTTTATTTATCAAAAATCTGTTGGTACAGCTTTTTAAACTTTCTCCCTCCCCCTCAAAGAAACCTTTTCCTTTATATGTTTCATTGCTGATGATTCTGTTGTTCTCACTCACCTATTTTTTCTTAACAGTAAAATTGACGCAAGGCTGGGGGTTGGAGCAATAGCACAGAGGGTAGGGCGTTTGCCTTGCATGCGGCCGACCCGAGTTCGATTCCCAGCATCCCATATGGTCCCCTGAGCACCTCCAGGAGTAATTCCTGAGTACAGAGCCAGGAGTAACCCTTGTGCATTGCCGGGTGTGACCCAAAAAGCAAAATAAATAAATAAAAAATAAAATTGATGCAAGGCTGTAACAATTTTCTTTAGCTCAGTGACACGAAGCCAGACAGATGAAGCTTTTCAAGTCTATTATTTTCTCTAGAATTTATAAATCTAAGCTTCTTTCCAGCTCAACTCTGAAGCCTTGTCCAAAGACACCTTCTGGGTCAGGTTGGAGCTTATCTAATATTTGGCATGTGTACATGTTTGTACTGACTCTGTGGTCTATCTTCAGACACACATTATGCTACTGAATTATGAAAAAGAAGAACAGAGGTTCAAACTACGTTCAAGGTTTAAACACTGAAGAGTAGAGAGAACTGGTTTGTATTGTATCTGGAAGACTAGTTTTCCTGGTAAACACTCTTCTTTGTAGTTGGGTCAGACAAACTATTTCTGTTCTCTAAAATATTGTGACTTAATCTATAAAATTCTCGGAGACATCAACATGTCTTTATTTCCAAGATAGCACTGTAGCACTGTTCTCCCGTTGTTCATCGATTTGCTCGAGCGGACCCAGTAACGTCTCCATTGTGAGACTTGTTGTTACTGTGTTTGGCATATCGAATACATCGTGGGTAGCTTGCCAGGCTTTGCCAAGATAATAGTAAAAAAATAACAGAGATTTTGAGTTTGTTTTGAAATTAAGATAATATTTATAAAATTGCTGTGGAAATGTTAAATCGTTACACAGATAGAGTATTACTGTTATTGCCAATCAGGTAACATAAAACACTTAGGTTCATCACATTTAGAACTAATGATACCCTGTGGCATTTCTAAAGTTAATTCTTCGCCATGTCTCTTCCCTAGCACCTTTCTAATGAAAAGTGCTTGAGACATTAGAAAACATGGCTTAATGAAAACTGAAGGGTGGGGCAGTCTTAATGAAGAATTTAATACTGGATGATTGATTTAGCGACAAAGGGAAATTACTTGCTGTTGTGCTGCTAAATTTCATGCCAAGATGCCAATTCTTGTCTTCTTAACAGACTGAAGAAAGGAGTTAGAGAGTATAGAGGGGAAAATGACCGACTTGCGATTTAGGCTTCCCTTTGGACATATTGTAAGCTGTGTTAAAGGATGCCTGTGAACTACATGAGAAAAATGCATACCAGAAAACCCACTAAAACTTACATGACCAGTTAAAGGATAAACCTGCTCTTCAGTGCATAGGTATTAAACAGGAGATAGTGTGTTAAACTGTTCTCCACATAGTTTTTATATTATAGTGGCGTTGATTTTTTTAAGAGCCATGATGCACATTATCTGGAGTCCCTATTGTAAAATTTCTTACTAGAGTCATTATTCTTCTTACAATATGCTATGCATCATCATCTCCAAGTTGATTTCAGATTCAGCTTAACTTAATGCTATTCTGGGAAGCACAATCAGAAGTCAGTAGATGCATTAATGTGCTAGTTTGTTATTTATGGCTTTCTTCCAACACACAAAGGAAGAATAGCAATGATGGAGCTTCAGTGACTGAGGTGTAAACCTCAAATATGAACAAGTGGTTTATTGAAGTAAAATATTATTTGTATTTAAACAGTTAAAATAAATTTGAAAAAATTATGGGGGAGTCCTGAAAGATAAAATTAATTAAGAGACCTCATTTCTTTGAAATAAATTACACAGATCTTAGTATGATATGAGATAATAATCTGCTTAGGGATAACCTGCAGAGCTGCTAATGGTAGAAATATGACATGCTTGACCACAGAGAACAGGCATATCAAGAATGCTTTTGATTTTTCCCTTGAATGCAAGTAACTAGTACATTTTCTTTATTTTTTCTTATGTTAAAGTTAATATGATTTAAAGTTAATATGTAAAAACTGCTTAATTCTACTTTCTGGAGTACAATTATTAAGAAACTTGGATGTGCTATTGAGCATTTACTAAACCTTCACTGCTCATCTGGAGTTTATCTTATTCTATATTTTTTTGAATAATGAAATGCGTACCAATATTTTCCTTATTTGAATAGTTTTGGAAAACTATAATCCAGGTGTGTAAATTAAATTGCTTCTTCTTTTCAGCCTTTCCTAGTATCAGGATTTATTTTTACTGCACACAATGTATCATTCCAAAGTTGATTTCAAATTCAAATATTACTTAATGTTATTTTGATGCTACTTAATGTTATTTTGATATAAAAACTCTTTTACATTATTATAGGTGACATAAGAATGACCTTTGTAAGTGGAAACTCTGTTGGCATTTATAAACTTTCAATATTTTTGTGATCCTATCATTATAAATTTTAGGAATTTAGTAATCTTTTAGAGGGGTACTTGAATTTCAACCAGAAAAAAATATATCTTACAAAACTTTATAAAACCTTGATTTAACTTTCTTGTCTATGTTTGTAGGTAGGTAATTGTATTTAGAAAAAGAAATAATCCACTATGAAGTAACAGATGATTTAACTATGAAGTAACAGATGGTTTTCATGGATTTCTTTTGGTCTATTCCACCTTTCCTTATATTCTACAAATATATTATAATTTAAAGATAAATACATAGTAGAGTTCTGAAAGAGTTTAATTGTTTTATATATTCAGTAACCTTGAATATATAAAACATCCCTAGACCTGTAAACCAGCCTGCTTGTCATAGTTTAGACATTAGACATTCTCTCTTGACTTTTGCTATTTACAGTAAAGATAGGCTTTTATAAAGATAATCACTAACTTTCAAGCTAAAAATGTATAAATTGTCTTCAATTCTGATTATACATGTTTGGTATACCATGTCTGTAGTTATAATAAAAAGTATCCTGTGTGTATATTACAACCAGCATTTGTTGAGTATCTGCTTTATATCTACCATTGTGAAAATGGTTTTATCTGAATGAGATTTTCAACAACTACCCTCTGGTCCTTTGTTCCACTTGCCTAGCCGCTACCAGTGAGACTGACTGTGATCATCACCGTTGCTTCCTTTCATTCATATAAGAAAACAGATCTCAATTTATATACCTGTGACATATCTAATTTATATACTTGTGACAACTTATGAGAGATAGAGAGGACCTTATGACACTGTATTCTTGGGGTAGTTAATGCCGGTATCCAAAAATGATTCTATTACATCTGCATCACTTTATAGGTTCAAAAAAAAATGAGACCTACAGAAAGTGAGAAATCACCAAGGTTTCTTTGCTGATTAAAATTTCTTTTTTGGACTACCATGTTTTCTTCAATTGCTTCCAAATGTTTTTAGAAGTGAAAAGTAGAGCTTCTCCCTCATGTCTCTCTTGTACTGTCTTCTTGGTGAGCCCAACACTTTCTCTAAACACAGCTGATTTCTACTAATCCATAACCCTCCTCATCTCACCTCTTTTCCAAGTTCTCTATCTCTTTCTGAAAATTTCCCTAAGGAGAAAACTCTTGAAATGCAGCTTATCATAACTTGAGATTACTGACACATTTCATAAATTTTATAATTTTAATGATTCTTTAAATAGCATATTCCAGTCCAATTCCAACTATGTCTTCTTTTGTATTATTGATATTAATGAAATAATGTATCACTTATGCTCTTAAATGAGAATCTATGTCACATTCTGTTTTCTCTCTTAATCCCTACACCTTACTATTAAATTTTAACAATTTTTGCCTCCGAAGAACTTCTCAAATTTGTCTTCTTTTTGCTGATTCTTTCATGATAGTATACTAATTTACTATTAGAAATTTTGTAGTCTGCTCTATTTTATAAGACCTTTAAGGGGAATTACTGTTATTTCTACACTGTATGAGACACTGTACTAAGACAGAAAGCAGAAAAATAAGACAACCCTGAAAGTTAATAGAATTCATCATTCTGTAATAGGCAGCTATACTTTCCCCTTGGTTTTCATGGATTTCTTTTGGTCTCTTCCACCTTTCCTTATATTCTATCTCTATGATACAAGTTCAGTATAAGGAATTAAAACTTGTTGTAACTTTTAAACTATGACTATTCCCATATAATGTTTTTATTTATTGAGAATATTACAAATATTGATCTCAAGATTTTCAAATATGAAGAAGTAAAGAGTCAAGATTACTGAGAGTGTATTAATCTATTTTAATGAATCACATATAGTTTTTCTTAGTTGAAATGAGGGTTCAGAAACCACAGGAAGGCTGAGATAGAAATGTTGTAAAGGTTGAAGCAGACTAGAATTTTCAAAAGCATTTTAGTTTGCTTTGGTAGAACACATTTTATATATTCCCTGAGTACATAAAAGTAAATCTCTTTTGACAAAAATTTAAGATATTTGTATATTACTAAAGACTTTATAGATTTTACTAAATCTGTTGTCAAATTTAATGAAGTTCTTTTCTGTTGCTGATAGGTATACATTGGTGGATATTTTGCGTGCCATCTTACTTTCCTTAGAAGCCATGATTGAAGATCCTGAACTTCAAGTGAATGGATTTGTTTTGATCATAGACTGGAGTAATTTCACCTTTAAGCAAGCCTCTAAACTTACACCAAGCATGCTGCGTTTGGCTATTGAAGGCCTTCAGGTAAAGACTTATAAGTTATCCAGTTTCTTAATCCCCAGTTTTAACTTCTTATATCTAAAGTGTTAGAACAATGAAATGTCTAACTTAAATATGTAATTTTCAAGAACAAATACTACATTAATTGCTGAATAATTAAAAGAAATTAATATAAGCGTTAGATCAATAGCACAGTGGGTAGGGCATTTGCCTTGTACGCGGCTGACCCGGGTTCGATTCCCAGCATCCCACATGGTCCCCCAAGCACCGGTAGGAGTAATTTCTGAGTGCACAACCAGGAGTAACCCCTGAGCATCGGCTGGGTGTGACCCAAAAAGCAAAAAAAAAAAAAGGAAAGAAATTAATATAAAAAAGTTTATAAACATGTGAAAAATGTTAAAATGTGAAAGTAGATGGGAGTCTGTGATACTTGAGGCTGGAGAGATAGTGCAGTGTGTAAGGACTTTTGGCTTGAATGCTGCTGAACCAGGTTCTATCTCCAGCACCCTCACATAGTCCCAAAATGGAGCTAGGAGTTTTTCCCTACACAGAGAGACAGGAACAAGCCCTGGGCAAGCTGGATGTGGCCCAAAACCAAATAAAAAACCAAATAGGATTATTCTCCTAAATCATTACTTTTGTTTTATTTTAATTGTTTTAATTAAAAAATAAAAAAAAACCTTATACATGTAAGTCAAGCATTCTATCTCTGAACTACATCCCTAGCCCATACTTCCTTTTACGTGACTTTCCAATTGATAGCCAGGAGGAATAAATGCTCTCTTACTCAGCAGTCTCAGTACCGAGAGAAAAGAAAGGTACTGAGACACATATAGGGAATAATGATAAGAGAGTGGCTTCTTTGCAGCAGCACACTGCACAGCCAGGATTATCATCTCTTTCTCTAGACCTAAGCATAGAAGTGATATCTGATAACAGTTTCCACTGTGCTAACATCCATGTGCTAACACTCATACTTAAGAATTTCTGATAGTCATATGGCTATTGAGGAAGAGTTCGAAAATCTAAATTGTTAGCTTTTTCTCCTCCAATGACTTAACCACATTACAGCCAAAAATTCCATAGTGTGTGTGTGTGTGTGAGAGAGAGAGAGAGAGAGAGAGAGAGAGAGAGAGAGAAGTTGAGTCTAAAATATCTAATCAAGTAACATTTTTCTCAGATTAATAAATTAAAGAAGCCCAAAGAGTACAGGGATGAGACAATGCATGTTTGAATAAGTTAGGGTTCATTTTAATGATTAAGTTAAGCATAGATGTGGCTAGAAGCAATTTTTTAAAAACTTTTTTTTATTGAATAATAACGAGATACACAGTTACAAGGTTGTCCATGATTGGGTTTCAGTTATATAATGTCCCAATACCCATCCATTCACCAGTGTATGTTTCCTGCTATCAATGTCCCTAGTTTGCCTCTCCTACTCCTACTTGCCTCTGTTGCAGGCACTTTTCTTTCTTTTTTTTTTTTTCTTTTTGGGTCACACCCGGTGATGCACAGGAGTTTCTCCTGGTTCATGCACTGAGGAATTACTCCTGGCAGTGCTCAGGAGACCATATGGGATGCTGGGAATCAAACCTAGGTCGGCTGCATGGAAGACAGATGCCCTACCCGCTGTACTATTGCTCCAGCCCATGCAGGCACTTTTCTTTGTCATTCTATGTTAATAGGAAGTTTAGCAAAGTGGTCATAATAAGAATGCTGACAGAGGTATGTTATCTTAATATGGTAGCCGACATTTTTATAAAATCAGAATTTGAAAATACAATATTAGAGTAAATATTATGTAATTATATTTCAAAAGCACTTGCTTTTGAATTGAGAAAGGGGAAATTATATTCACAAAATATTAAGCACCATATTATTTCCTAACATTGTTTTATAGATCATTGGTCTTTTTAAAAATCTAAATCTCAATATGTAATATTTTCTCTGTATTACTTTCTCAGGTGTGTAGTAACAAGTCATAACACATTTGGTGATCTTAATAAATTCTTTTTCTACCAGTGCCCCAGGGAACCCGCCCAGTGCCCTCATCCACCCCTGTTAGTTTTAGCTCTCCAGATTAACTCTTAAATCATATTGCTTTTATCCATTTGTTGCTCCCGAACTATCTTTATATTGAGAAAGACAAATATTTTTATATTGTTTTCTATATTCTTTTCCTTTCGACTGATTTCACTCATCATTATACCCTCTAAGTTCCATACATATGTTGCACTTTCTATTTGAAAGTAACAGAGTCACTTTCTTTACCTCTGCAAGTGACATTCTTGAGTAAATTGCAAACGTCCAAGTTCCCTGTGATGGAGGCTAAGTGAAGACTTTCTTTTTTTTTTCCTGATAAACAAGGGGAAATATTATTAACACAACCACAAATTGATAATCTGCTCATGGTATTGAACTAAGGAAACTTAATGTTTCTATGGTCTGATTCTACAAATATTTCTTACAAAATGAAAGACATTAAACATTTTAACCTTTATAGTACAATTGCTTAATGGATGAGAGACAATAACAGATATTTTTAATGATAATAAGCAGTCAAGCTTCTTCGCAAGGAAAAGGGAAAGAGAAAATTGTCTTCCTACTTACAAGAACCTAATTGATTAGGGTAGTCATAGTAACAGAAAACATTTTAGACAATCAATACAAGATTAAGTGAATGTGACTTGTAGACTCCAAGTTATCTGCCTGGGAAGCCAATTAAAAAGTGAAATGTTTGGAAATGCCTAGAATAGCCTAGACTAAATTTACAGAGAAATGTGCTTTTAGAATTTTTGCTTGCTGTTGCTCTATTTTATTTTCTTCTAAAATATTTTCATACTTAAAACTCATTAGCAATAAAAATGCAAGCATTTTTTGTTTGGGGGCCACACCTGGTGGTGCTTGCATGCTACTAGCTCAGGGGTCACTCAGGAAATTTAGCGGATCATGTGGGGACACGATTAAAGTAGCCCCCTGCATGCACTCTGTCTATTGAGCTGTCTGGCCCTCCAAACTTTTTCTTTAAATTCTAGATTCTTTGATTTGTGAATTAAAAAAATAATTATCCTTACCCTACTTATGTTGTTGACTGTCCCTTACTATTGCTTTATTTGTTAGCCCTGGGAGGCTGTGTCTCTGTGTTTTTGTTTTGACAGTTTCACAGAAATCCCCAAACTGCATCTGCTAGAAAGAACATAATGTAGTCAAGACATGACCTGCTGGCAAGGCTGTAACAAGGGACTGAATAGCTCTTTGAATTGCTACATAGGGCTCAGATGTAGGACCATAACGAAGATTGTAAATCAATGCCAGATATTGTAAGAGCCCTTAATAAATAGAACTTGTGAAAGAATGAAGACTATGTTATCAATTCTCAGTACTTAATGTTGGTCCATTTGACTCAAGTGTTCCGTGTTAACAGCAACAACCAATCTGCTCTCTCTCAGAGCTCTGGTCATTCATGGAGATGACTGAAAGTGCTTTCACTATCAATTCATGCTCTGTTTATTTGGAAGCCCAGTCCTACCTAGGGGTTCTTGCCAAAAACAGAGAGACATGCTAATGACTCAGAACATCATGGTGCTTTCACCATGCAGATGAGGTACTTCATTAATTTTAGTTGCAGAAGCAATAATACTGGGTAGGGTGTTTACCTTGTACACTACTCACCCTGGTTTGATCCCTGGCACTGCATATTGTCCCTGAGCACTGCCCAAAGTAATTATTTTCCTATTTATTTAATTGTATTCTTAATTTCTGAGTACAGAGTCAGGAGTAACCTTTGAGCACTGCCAGATAGAGTCCCCAAAAAAAGAAAAACCAAAAACACCTTTAATCTAATCTTTGCTTATTCAGTTTTCCAAATTCTACCTGTTATTTCTAGGATTTTGAGCTTGGTGTATGTTTGTGTGTGTGTGGGGGGGGGCAAAGAGGTGGGGCAAAGGATAGTATAAAATATTAAAAAGGAACTCAGTGACATTTTGAGTAAATTAGGAATTTATAATAAAATAAATGCTATTGCAACAATGTCTTTTTCCAGTGACTGTGAACCTGCCAATAGTTTTCAGGCTTATAGTATGACAGTTGACATCTTGCATCTTGCATATCAACTCTCTTGTAAATGTAGGGTATCATGGTCGGAAAGGGATTGGAATAACAGTCCCTTTTGAAAAATGAGCACACGGGGGAGCGGCGGGGACCTCATGGGAAGGGGGGCTTTGTGGGCCGTCCCCCACGCCCCACCGAGGTCGCCAGCTGCCCCCCACGAGCGGCTCTCCGGCACGACCACGACTCCAGGGCACAGAAACCAATCTCTTAACTAGCTAACTTTTAATAGAAATTCTTCCAGGGTCATTAAGTAAAATAGCAGAAATTCAAAACCGCGCGGCCGCGACATCATTTTATTCTTAAACCAAGTTGTAGAAAGCAAATCATTTCACAACGCTGTTTCAGCATGTCTGATTGGGGGAGGGGTGGGTCGTAAACTCTAAACAATAATTGTGCATCTTCTATCGAAATAATCTATCTCGTCAAAGTAGATAGAGTATTAACTAGAACTCATCTGCCTCACAAAGAATTGGGAGGGGTGGGAGGTGGGGGTCTATTGGGATTCGGGGTTAAAAATGAGTATTGGTAAAGGGAAATGTGTTTGGTATCTACATGACTGAGACCTAAACCCGAAAGCTCTGTAACTTTTCCCACAGTGATTCAATAAATAAATAAATTATAAAAAAAAAAAAAAAAAAGAAAAATGAGCACAGACTCATGAACTGTGTTCAGACAGCCTGAAGGTGGGAACGTTCCTCCACCCACACCCCCAACCCAGATTTTAAGCACAGAGAGAACCATACTGAGAAACAGTGACAGGGCAGTGTGTAAAAAAAAAAAAAGTGACAATTTGTTCATCACATGCATATCTGTCTGAGCTAAGTGTACTTCCTTTCAGTTGTTATTTAAACTGAAAGAAAATGAGCAAAACCCCTAAAGTAGCTTTATTCATGGTGTGAAAACATGGTGAGTTT